TGATGGTGTTCCACATGCAGTTAAGGAAACTGAAGAATTAGCAAGAAAAATCTGTTTTATTCGTGAAACACATTATGGTATCCATTATTGTATCTCATTTAAATAATTGGCAATCTTTTTTTACTAACTTATAAATAATTTGGATTTGTAGGCGGCTTTTGGGATTTCACAGCAGATTTAGAACACGGAGATACAGCATATACCAATCTTCCTTTAAGAGCACATACGGATAATACGTATTTTACTGATCCATCAGGGTAAATTACAATATAACAACTGATTCAAAAGTTTAATATTACTTTTATGATTAAATTACGTTTAGTCTTCAAATGTTTCATTTGCTAGAGTTTGATGGAGAAGGCGGTTCTTCATTGTTAGTGGACGGTTTTCATGTAGCTCGTCAGTTAAAAATGAAATCACCCATTGCCTACAAAACTCTTTCTACTATTGCAATTCCAACTCACTCTGCAGGAGATCAAAATACTTTAATTCAACCAACTCCTAGCGCATATCCAATTTTAAATCATGATCCTTTGTTGAACGATTCTCTTTATCAAATCCGTTATAATAATGATGATCGATCGACAATGAATAATTTGGAACCTGATCAAGTTTTGGAATTTTACGATGCTCTAAGAAAATGGAATAGTTTATTAAAAGATGAAAGTAATGAATATTGGTTTCAATTAAAGCCAGGAAGAGTTGTTATCTTTGATAATTGGAGAGTATTGCATGGTAGAGATAAATTTAGTGGGCATAGAAGATTGATTGGATGTTATCTGAATTGGGATGATTATCAAAGTAGATTAAAGACTTCACTTTTAAGTCAAGAAGAGATTATAGAAAGTTTGTAAAAGACTGCCTTATTCTTTGTCATAAATTAGATACTCTAATATTTCGTGCTAGGTGTTTTTCTTCAATGTTTAGTAATTTATACATCTAATATTATGCTTGAAATTTTTATTTTATCTAATGAAGAAAAGAGATAATAAAAATATTTGCTTATGAAATTTGGAAAATAGCTTATGTAATGAAAATTATAGTATACAATTTCTTGTCAATTAACTGGATTGAAATTCTGTAAAATAGGTTGCATTAGCTTGATTGAAAGCTCGTTGGCATTTATGGGAATTTTACAAGAAACCCAAATATTAATAATTTGGTAATTATATACTACGTATAATAAACAAAATTATTAATTAATTTTTTAATATAATATCTTGACTGTGTAGCAAGTTAAGGGCTTAATACCGGTAATATCTAATTTTTTAATTATATAATTTTTAAGCATATATTACTTATACATACTATATATAGTATAATTTTCTTTAAGTGCGTATACCAAAAAAAGCCCCGAAGTTCCCAAGTTAAGATTTAATTTGGCGAACACACAATAATCTTATTTTTTTAAAAAATATTTGTCAAAATTAAATCTTAGCTCTCGGGAAATCTGTAACACCCCGTGGCATTATTTCGCGACGATACGGTATACTTTTAGAATTAGAGATAATTATATACTGTATTTAAAAAAAAGTAAGAAATTTATTTAACAAGTTAGAGGTAAAAAAAAAAAATTAATAATAATACACATTTGATTAACTGTACAGTATATGACTTTAGAACCTAAAATATAGTAGATATACAACTCTCGTTATAGTGAAATGATCCTTCCATTAATAAAAAAAAAAAACTTTTTAAAAATTCAGAGTTTTATTAGTAAATTCATTAGATCAAGAAAATTTTATATAGAATGGCTTTGGGCTTCACTGTATGAGCGTTCACTATAACGAGAGTGTGTGGTATATAGTTGATAGATTCTTTCTAAGTACAGCGCCACTAGGGCTGGAAAAACTTTACTGGTACGTACGTACGTATCGCATTCTAAATGCAATATAATGCATGTACGAATTCCAATAAAGAAATATTACAAAAAATTTCAGAATACAAAATTTTAACATTTATGCCCCAATATTTGATATATTTTTAAAAATCTTAATAAATTCATTCATCATATAATCTTGTAAAATTGAAGCAAACTCGTCAAGTACTTTTGGTCTTAAAGGTAAAAATGGTTGAGGTATGTATAAGTCATTACAGCCAGTTAAAGCCAGTAAAGAGTTTTGTAGTTCAATATTTGAACAATTCAAGGTATAGGTATTAATTCCTTTTTTATTTCACCGTATTTTCGTTTCTTAAGATATCTCTATTGCAATATATACTAAAATGATAATATTAAGGTTTAGACACATGAGCACTTAAACAAGCATTAGTGACTGGAGGTCGAATAGAACCAGTCAGCAAACGATACGACATTATGAATTTAAACCATTATGCATAATATGTGGGAGATAATGAATTTCAACCAAAAAACATCACATACTTAATGAATAAGGCTGTAGTTATTTTGTAGTACATTTTTCTTATTTATAAACACTGTAATCAGTTTTGCACCGCCTTTCGTCAAGAATATAATTAATACATTGCTTCGAACATTATTCATTCCTAGATCTAAATAAATTGTCTTTTTTTTTTTTTTTTTACGAATGCCACGATTCATTTTGCAATTGCACAGCTTTTACCTTTTAATAAGCCCAATTAATTTTATCATAAACAAATCATTTTGGCGACAAGAACGCCTTTTCTAAATTTTCATTGATATTGATATATGTGGCTATGCATTTCGGAAAAATAATGCTTGTCATAATAAATATCATTGGCTAAATTGAATTACAGCGGGAATGACGTATTTAGTAATAATGGAGAAAGATCTACACATAAAATCCAGCCCGTGCATATTAACATATAATTTAATGCCAATTTTTTTCTTTTGTTGCATAATTTTTCTTAAACTTCAAAATTTATAGTCCCAAGTGCATTTGTTGCATTTGTGCACGAAATTTTAATAAATAAATTATCATTTTAATTAAACCATTTAATTGTTTTATGACATCTCCTATTTTGTTCTTTCTTTTTTATCATTCTTTATCAAAATTTGTCTCAACTCTTAAAACTAGAACAAAAAATAATGGGTCGAAAAGGTTCTAAAGATAACGATGATTTTTTTAATGTGTAAGTTATTTCGAATTCTTTCAATCCAAATCAACCTTTTCGTCAACTTAATCGACTTTCCATTCAAGACATGAGGAAACTTCGGGTGCAGTTAATCAAGTTGAAGCAACTGATGAAAAAGGTCAATTGATTGATGGAATTCATGACGTGCAAATTGATGGTGATAAAGAAATCGCACTTGTTCTTTGTAAGAATTTATTATCATCATAATTATATTAATTTTTCATTAAATATCTTTGTTGACTTGTATTTCTCTCAAATTTCTTTATACATATGAATAAATTTAAGACAAAAATGATTATACTTATTGTTGGGTACCAGTTCAGAATTTGAGAAACGCTGATGTTTTATTGGAAGCGCATAGAAAACAATTACAGGATTGGAATAAACGTGAAGTGATTCGAACTTCTCAAGAGGTTACATCCATTCTTATTAACTGAATCTTCATTTACGTTTTTTACTTTATTACTTAATACGTTTATGATTTATAGAAACATGTAGATCAAGAGACGCAAGAATCTGGTTCTCTTGGCTTAAATAATGAAAATCTTACAAAAGATTCGGTGGTGAATCATCCTCATCAACAACCTGAATCTCCTGAAATTTGCTCGAGTAATCAATCTATCGATAAAATAGAAAAGTCAAAGGGCAAAAAACGTGTTCATGACGATGATGAATCGCAGCAAAATGTAGTTGCAAAGAGGCGTGTTGGACGTCCAAAGAAAGGTGCCATTACTAAAAAAGTCAAGGTTAAAAGACCAGTAGGGAGACCAAAAAAAGGTTTAAATCCCAATGAAATGTCAAAAGATAAACCAAAAGAGCGAGTTGAAAAAAAAAAGAAAAAATCATCTGATACTGAATCCGATCCTTGGGAAGCTTCTAAAGCTCCTAGTGATGATGACTTTCTTGATGACGAGAATGATGATGAAGATGATTATGTTGTGCAAGAAACTATCAGTATGTCGATATTAAGTTTCAGGTTTAACAAGTTTATTCGAAAAATTCAGTAACGAGTCCTATTAATTTCAGTATCTTCAAGTTCCAAATTCGATCGCTTACCATCACCTGATCGTGTTCCATCAGTAGATAAAGCAACTCATGAAGATTCCGATGGTTATGATTTGTGGGACGCTCCTGCAACGCCAGAGCCTCTCCGTGACGTTCTGTCCGCTAAAAGCACAAATGCAGAAGACTTACATAATGGTATTTATATAATAATTATTAGAAACTGTCGTACTTTTATAGAAACTTCGTACTTTTATATAACTGACGGTTTGATAAACAAAAACTGTTTAATAGAAATAGATTATTCAGATGATGGCCATGAGAATGACCATGATCCATGGATGATGTGGAATGAGACTGGTATAATTTTTGATATCTTATAAACTTATTATTTGCATAGAATCCTTAATATGGATTTAACTCATTATATTACTCTAGATTTTTTTGAAAATATGCCGGAACTTAAGTCTTCTGAGGAAAAAAATGACAAAAAATCACCCACAGCTGGTAGCACTTTACAGCCAGTGTCTGATCGATTTTCAGATTTGACAGTTTCTTCCGAAACTACTCACACGCAAAATACGAGTACAGAATTTACGTCATTAAAATCAAATACAGCTTATTTGGATGAAAGTAAGCAGTAAGTGATCGGCAAATGTGACAAAAATGCTACAATTTATATTGTCTTTAATGAGTATTCTTGCTATATTTTAGGAAAACAGAAATAAAGAAAGAAGGAGATTATTGGAAATCTCAATTTCCTCAACAATTATCTAGCGAATCACATTCTTTACAGGATTATAGATCTACATATTCTCACGATTATAAAAAAAATGACGAACGACAGCACGATATTATAATAAATACTTCAGCATCATTAACTTCATCTAACGAATCTTTTGATACTTCTCCAACACCACCACAATTTAACAAAAGGCGACAAGACTCGTTTGAATCTTCGCGAGAAGGAATGGCTTCTGCTACATATCCATTATATACTTCACCTTATTTTCAATACCCACCAAATAATTCTCTCTCGCAACATGGGATTTATAGTTCACGAGCATCAGATTATTCATCCTCGCAATCAATTTGTTCACCTCATATTATAAATACAAGCTCAGTTGGTCGGAATTTAAATGATGATGAAATGAATATTCAAAAAGCAATTAAAATAGAATCTATTGAGGATCAACTATTAACGCAGTGGACTGGCTCTTTAGTTAAAGGCCAGTCTGCTCAATATGTTGGGCGAGTTGTGGTTAGACCTTTGAAAGAAAGATGCGATAGCGTTGATTATATGTAAGATATTTACTCTATATTCGGCCCCTAATGTTCGCCTGTGAACATTTCTGATGACAGAGCGTTACGTCATCAATCAAAATTTTAATCAGAAATGTTATGGGCATAGGAACCATGAAACATATCAGATATTCAACGATGTGCCATGAACATCATGTATTACCATGGCTTCGACATGCTAATCCATGATATTCACAGCAGCCCGTGGAATATCTATTACATATCTCATGTTTAGTACCTTTTAATTAATAAATTTATTAATTTCGTAGAAATACTATAATGAATCAACATAAATTATGGATGCGAAATGTGCTACCACAACCGTATGCAGAGAGATTAGTAGATCCCAAAGATTCAATCAAATATCCAATATTTTTAATGGATTTTATTGATGACGGAAATGATAACACACGGAAAACAATAGAAACTGATCTTTTTGGGATGAAATGGAATGAAATTGTAAATCTTTTTTTATCATATTTATTTATGCAATATATTATTATTCTGATAAGTCATTTATTTTATAGGTAGGTGTTATCTGGCTTAATGATGCCTCAAATTTATGTTGGCTAGTTTTCCCAAACTCTCAACGAACATCAACTCAACTAAGAATTGTGCCACGCCCAGTAGAAAAATTTATAATCATTCCAAAAACTATATACATAGATGAAAATACGCCATTTGGCTATCTTGATAGTCTTAAGCAATCTGATTCACAAACGGTGGCCATTACTCAAGATCCTATAACTCAAGAACGGCTTACAGATGATTTATATTATGCAACTCAAGCATCAATACTATCAAATAGCTATTTTGCTTTACCAGAATTATGTAAGAATAATCCACGTTTTGGTGTGTTTGGTCCAAGAGAAAATTTTGAAGTTAGAGAAGTTATTGAAGCTGTTAAATTTTTTGGTGGAGTACATGATCAAGACTTTGAAAGCCCAGATTTGAGTCTTATATTAGTATGTTTAATATCTTGGCTATTTCTGCCATATATTTATTCCATCTCTGTGCTAATTAATACTTATAATACAGATTCACGTTAATTACTTGGACCGAGTCAACTCCATACCGCGATTAATTGATCTTAAGTATAAACAGGATTGTAAATTTCATATATTCGGATGTGATTTATACTCACCTGATCCTGTTAATCTTGTCGAATGTTTTCCTTCTGGTATGTATAATTTGGATTTATGATATTCAATTGGGAATATGTCATGTCATGAAATGGATTTAGAGTATATGGATTTTTTAAAGTGTTAATGTGGTTTATTTGACTAACATTATATTGTAATTATCTATATATATATATTTTTTTAGGCGGAATTGTTACAATAACACCACAAGTTTTTCTGTCAGGACGTCATAATGATATTATTCAAAGGGTCATGGATGTCTGCAATAAGGTTATATTTTTACTGATTGCATGAAAACTTACAACGCATTTGAATCTAAATTTTATTGTTATTTAATAATAGCAACTTATGGAAAAAAATTGGAAATGGACTATTAAATTATATTCGGAAATAAGCACAATGCTTGATGCAATATGTAACGAACAGAAGTTTAAGTATGAATTTTATATATTTATTCTAAATGTAAAATTCGTATCTTTAATTATAACTATATATAATATTCTTTATCTATAATAGGAATTTTGAATATGCACAAAATACATATTATACATTTACAAGCCAAAGATTCAAGAACCATCTTGAATGCAAACATTTTGAATTATTTAACGATGAGGAAGTTAAATGTATTGAGGTAACGATTGTTTGCTCTTGAGAACTATAAAAAATCTAAATCATAAACTTTAATCAATAATATTTTTTTTTTAAATCCTTCTTTGCATTAGAAACTTCAAAAGCAAGATCCGACAATGGTTAAAATCTTATATTATATAATGACTAGAATACATAATTTAAGTCTAACGGAATTTAGGCATGTCATCTTGATTCAAGACGACAGTGAAATAGAGTTAGGGGTTGTTGATGTTCCTGGAGTAAGTTTGTCATATAATGCTTAATATAGTATTAGTTATCAACGTCATTTAACTTATTGAACATCATTATTATATAGGTTGAAAGAATGTTATTAACAGATTTCGAATCAACATTTGGGTAATTCTTTAATATATTGATAAATATTTTTATCGCTTTTAAGTGTTTACGAGAGTTAGTAATTTTAATTGAAAAAGTCTGTATGAATAGTTGATTTAGTATAAACACATTTTCATTTTAACTAAAAAAAGGTATGGTCAGATGTTTTCTTCAAGATGAATATTTCTAGTGAGAGATGGAAGTTTGTTCGGCTTTGTAATTTTGACCGATTCGATAGATAAATGATTTATTGTTCGAAGACCCGATTAATCATGTGCCTAAATTGCCTTCTTAATAAAAAATTATTACGGTGATTAATTTGTTGTCTGCCGAAATTATTTAAACACTTTATATATCAAAATACGTTAAATAATAAATTTATTTGATGAGATATTGCTTTTTTAATTTAGACACGTGCCTATATGTCTGTTGTAACTGATGCGGAGAATTTACCTTATTTTTTATGAAATTTTTAGTTTTTTTTTTTTTTTGAGGGTTAGATCAGGATTCATGGATAAAGTTGTTAGTAAAAGAGTGTATGTGGACTTTAGTAAGTTTGTAGGCTCAAATTGATATTCCAAATCTTAGCATCAGCCGCAACAAGGTTTATAAAAAATTGACTTTTTACAGCTGTTTTTAAAAAGATGTGGAAAGGCAATGTTTTCGATGTATACATGTACCGTATTTGCGCGTAATAATGCCCCTTTAACGTTATTTTGAATTCCTGCGCGTTATTTTGAATTCCTGCGCGTTATTTTGAACTCCTACGCGTTATTTTGAATTACTGCGCGTTATTTTGAACTTCTATAGGTTATTTTGAACTCATGCGCGTTATTTTGAAGCGCGCATGCGCTTATTTTGAGTAAAAATAAGATTTTTTCAAATTTAATACGGTCAACCCCTTTGTAAATATACTCCCCTTGGGATTATGGAAAATGTGGATTTATGGAGGGCATTTTATTAAGTGCACTATTTGTTTGGGCTGAAGATTAGTATGCATTTAAAGAGGGTATACATAGTGCGCGCATTTATGGAGGGTTAACTGTATTTGAATCAATCACATGGGTGATGTTATAATAACTAAACTAGAACTATTATAAAACGCATTTAAGTTACAGAAAAGGGTGGCGCGCGTTATTCGGGACGCGCATGGGCGATATTTTGAATAATTCAGCTAATTTTTTGTAAAAAGGCAAATTTCAAATTAACGCCCGCCCCGCTATTACGTTATAGAGAATCGGGAAATCTAATAGTACGGAGAGATAACATTGGTTTTTTTTTTTTTTTTGTTGCGGAGTTGACTCTCGGAGGCTAATACCAGCGGACAACTAATACTGAGTGTCTGGGTTAAGTTATGGTGCGCTGATATATGTAGGCTGTTAAAAAGCTCACTAGAGTCGATCCTTTAAGTCGATTCAGCATTAACACATTGACTTGACTTGTAGCTACTTATGAGCAAAACTCTAATGAATAATACTTTTAATAGTAACACGTATATATGAGTTTGTTTTCAGTAATTGTTCTATGACTAGTTAAGAACTAGTTCCAATCCCATTAATTTTAGATCAGAATTCATGTTTGTCTTCAGTAATTGTTTCAATACTGATAGGACTAGTCAAGAACTAGTCCCAATTGTATTAATTTCAAATCATGTTTTATGCATTAGTCAAACTTGGGATCGATTTTTAATTGAGTGATTTGGCTTTGAAGCAGAGTTGAACCAAACAGGACTTTTAACAGTCCTAGATATATGCAAATTTAAATCTATATGTGCTGTGCCTACTGCACGGATCCAATTGACATCACTGCCCTGTACTCTAACCCTAAAATTCCAACTCCACTTAATCCTGTTTCTACTTTTAATATATATATGTAAATTTTTGTAGTAAAAAGTTAATAATAGTGATTTGAGTTTTATTTTCAAAAAAGAACATTGTACTTATGTGCATAATGTATATTTTGTTGATTTCTAATAAAGATAAGAAGGCAAAAATGCCTGCAAGGTAGAGCAAAAGATGCCTATTATATATATGAATACTATAGCATTAAATTTGTTATAATTAATAATTATAATTAGCTATCTAATAATAATAATATTTATAATATATATTTATGTCATTATAATTAAAAGTTTTTTGTTATCTAGGTGTTTTGTCTAGAGATTAATAGGCAGTTTAGTTATGTCAAAAAATTGATAGTAATATGAGATACAAGCTCAAACTATATTTTTGTATTTGGGCAATTAATTTTATACTTCAATTCCCACCAATGATGAAAAATTGAATTCTTCTGTATAATGGTAACTATTCAGATTTTGGAATGTAGATCCTGTAACAACAGTTAGATCAAATAGGTGCAAGGGGGTAATGATCGCCTAATGGATGGCTTATCTCACAACCCTATTGGGAGCAGTAGTATAGACTTGGAAGATCATGGGGCATTCATATAATAGAGGAGTTACACAAAAAGATACAAACCGATAAAAGGTGGTGTAAACCTGTGATAAGTTCCTGTGATCTGTGTAAATCCAGTGAACTAGTCCCAAATAGGAACCTGTTTGGCAAGTACTGAGTAGAGAGGTAGCGTATACTTTCAATGGTTCTAAAAAGTCTAAGAAGAGAATCAATAAGTTGTGGATCTAGACAAGAACTGGATATTTGGTGAGCACTATACCAATCAGGCTGCTGGAATTAATCGGAAGAAAATAGCACAGGCTGGTATCTGGGTTAAGCTAGTAGTAAAGCAGGTAATGCAACTTGTGAACCAAACCAGGCTATCTGGATTGGAAGTTTGGTGAAACAGTGGAAGAGTTTCTGATTGAATAAGTATCAGAGCTAGAGTATGAATAAACTTTATAAGGGCAGAAGTAGGTAACAGTAGCAGCTTTGGTTCACAATTACTTGTTTTCGGACTAGGCATAAGTTACTGAAGTCTAGGTCAGCCTAAATGTAGATATAAAAAGCTCTAGCAGGTTTACCTCAAGGTCAAAAAACTCACTAAAATGGTAAAGACCACTTTAAAGCCCTAAGCCAGTATATGAAAATAAGGTGGTACTATGTATCATCGCTTAGATATAAAAGAGTTAATATATAGGCATAGAGGGTTTAAATAGGTACCTCCTTAGTTAGAGTGCAGATACAGCATCTAGTATAGAACCTAATAATAAGTAAATACTTAAATAGATACTCAAAAGGTACAAATATGGCTAGTTGTACTCTACAAATATGTACAGCCATCAAAATGTTTTGACAATTAAAAATACTATTAATATTTAAATAAAGAGTAGCGTAGCAAAGAGATTACCTTAAAACAAAAAAAAATATATAAAGAAACTAAATAGTTTAAATTAAAGAGTGTAAGTAGTTTACTTAATTTAATTGTAAAAAACTTTACATAACTTTTATTATCGACCTTATCATTTTCACACATTTTCTCCTCTTTCAACTTTTTTTACAAACTAACTAAATTAAACAATTTTTTCCATATTTAAATAAACTACAGAGAGATTAATGCATTAAATGATATATACTAGAAACAGGCTCTGTTAGAAGTCTAAAGCATAAAAAAAAAAGTCTATAAGCTAAAAAAAATAGAAATTGATATATATTAAAATAAATAAATAAGATATAATAATGGCACTATCACTCTTTCTGACAATCACTTAATTAACAACAATTTACCGAACTACAGTTAACGATATAGGAAAGTGACATAGTGAACACAGCAATTTTCTTGGTTTTGTGCTAAGCAAACTTGTTGTCGATGAAGCCTACAATACATAAAACACCAAGGAGTAGGCGTATAAGAATATTAGGCAGGTTTGTGCCTTGGGTCAAGTTTTTTTTCTTCTTACAGAATCCTTTGCATGTTTGGCATTCAAACTAAAAGGTTTATTCTAGGAGCAAGTAGAACAAAGTCTCTGAGCAAGAATATTAAGTAGATACTTGGAAACTGGACTATATAACTATAAAATTTACAAGAAGAACTGCACATATTCTTGTTGACCCTCCACTTTGTTTTCAGGAAAATTTTGTAAAAAAGTGGATGATTTAGCTTACCCTCTTCAAAAGATCAACATATTGTTTACTTATCAAATCGGTCAGCATTGTTTACTTTTTACCCGTCACAACAAACACGTGGATTTAAATGGAATATGAACATCAGGATTACATGTCTTAGAAATAACAACCTGGACAAACAATGCTTTGAGACTAACTGTGCGAATTTCTGACTTATCTATAGTGCACAAAGTGCGTTTTTATTTATGCTTCTATGGGAGTTTAAACAAAAGAAGCTGGAGAGCTTATATTGCTAAAGTACAGTGCTAATGTCGAAGAGCTTTTTTTTCCTTTAGGTTTTCACTTAAATATACTAATTAGTTAAATTAGAGTAGAGACTAGTTTAGATAGTAATATATAATTTTTATAAAGCCTGACACAGGCTTATAATTGTGACTATCTGACGTGGGCAAGAGCTCATATTTTTCTTTTTCTTATTTTCCTTTTACCTCTTTAATTTCTTGTTTGTATCTTTTATCAGATTTCCCTATACCTCTGTGTTTTTTTTAGATTAGTTTTTTCTCTTTCTTTTCACTTTCCTATAAGAAGATATCATTAGATTGGTGGTATTCTATTGTAGGGCGGTAGGTCAGACGAGCCCTCCGGTTAGGATATTACCTTATATGGTGCTCCAAGTCACTTCTCATCAAATGCGCCAAATTCGGCTAGATATAATTCAAGTACGCCAAATTTGCTCTGATATGTTTAGATGCGCCAAATTAGATTGGCTAGATGATAAAGACCAAGAGATTTCTATATAGATAACCTGATAAACATAAAATATGAGCGTTTTTTTCGAAAAGAGCTAGAAAAATTGATTTGATTTCTGAAATTTTACGTCACATAGATTAACGGCTACATATATTTGA